ATGCGACGGTTCCCATGTGCGTGCGGGTGCCTGGTGGGTACACACCCACATTTCAGGCCACCTCAGGGGTGAAGCAGGGCTGCCCCTTGAGCCCTATATTGTTCGGTCTGTTCCTGGATGACTTCGAGTCCGGGCTGGTGCAACAGGCTGCGGCCGCGGCTCTGCCTCGCTGGCAGAGCGGGGAGTGCGTGCCGCCATTATTTTACGCTGATGACCAGGCCTTGCTGGCCACCACGCCGGCAGGCCTGCGTTTCCAGCTTGGTTACCTTGAGAGCTACTGTGCCGCCTGGGGCCTGACGGTTAACACCAAAAAGACCCAGGTGGTAGTGTACACCACTGGCGGGGCTGCTGCCACGGAGGAGCGGTTCCGCTACGGCGGCAATGAGGTGGAAACCGTCCCCACCTTCAGATACCTCGGCGTGCACCTGCACTGCCGGCAGGCCTTTGCCTCGGCGGCATCGTATCGGGCGGAGGCTGGGCGGCGCGCGATGCACCTGCTGCGTCGCCGCCTGGCCGAGAATGGGTTGCAGGACCCCCTGCTCAGCATGCGTGCGTTCAAGTCTTACGTCCTGCCGACGTTGTCGTACGGGGCAGAGATCTGGGCGCCGTAGCTGATTCTGCAGGGCAGGACGGCATGCGAGCGGGTACAGCTGGAGTACCTGCGAGGGCTGTTGGGTGTGCGGGACAGCACCCCAGCCCTCATTGTGCTGGCAGAGACGGGGCAGCTGCCGCTGCCCGCCTACTGGACCTTGCAGGTTGCACGCTTTGTGAGCAACCTGCAGGCTATGGGCGGCGAGCGGGTCGCCCGTCTTGCCATGCTGGATAGCGTTGCGCTGGCTGCCGACACGGACACAGGGCTGCCACTGGCCCGGCAGCCCTGGGCAGCGCAGGTTAGCCGCGTTCTCGCGGCGGCCGGCGCCCCCTGCGACTTGACTGCTGACGAGGGGGTTGCCTTACCTGAATTGGCGGAAGCGCTCCTGGAGCGCCATGTTGCCTCGTACACGCATGCATCCGTGAAGGTGCAGCGGTACATTGAGGACGTGTGGGGGGGCAGCATCTCTGCGGAGGCCTACACGCCTGCGTCGTTCCTGTGCGATGTGCCCGAGCGCCGGCGCCGGGTGCGCCTGGCGCAGTGGCGCACGGGGTCGCACTGGATGGCTGAGGAGACAGGCCGGTGGCAGCGGCTGGACCGCACCCAGCGCCCATGCCCCCACTGTCAGGCCCCTCTAGAGGACGTACGCCACGCAGTGTATGACTGCCCCCTATACGCTGGGCTGAGGGAGGAGTATGCTGAGCTCTTCCACAGTCCCGGCCACGCCTTGCCCTCCCTGGCCGCCTTCCTCGGCCAGGCCAGGCAGGGCCGGCTGGCCCGGTTTGCCGACCGGTGCCATGAGGAGCATGCTGCTGCCCTGGCACAGTGACTCCCTCGGTTCCCTTGAGTAGGGCCCAGGCATCTTTTGCCCGGCCTTGGCTCCCGACCCACCCCCTCCCCCCGCAGGTAAGAGCAGCGTCAGCGTCAGCAAGCAACGGTCAGCGGCAGCCCCACCACCCCCACCTCCGCCTCACACACTCACTGGCCCCTTGCGCGATGGCACGCCGGCATGTTGGCATGGGAACGCCAAGCCCGGCACGGTAGCGGCGGCTGACTGAGTAATGGCACAGCCGACCGCCGCGGCAGGCCACTTTGCACTCCTGCCTGCAATGCATGCACCCTTACATGTGCAGCCTTCTGGTATTTTCATGTGCCTGGGAGATGTGCGGGCATGGGGGCCCATGTGCCCCATGCCATTTGAGTGCCCGGCGGCGGCGCTGCCTGCCGCCGGGAGCCCGCACCAGCATCGGCACCCGTCGGCCTGGCAGGCCTAAGCTGCTAAGGATCCCCACGTCCCCCACCACGTTGTGGGGGTTGCGTGTCCGGCAGGACGGGGAGCGGGGCCAGGGTGGGGTGACCCTGGGACGCTCAGCTGGGGGGAGGGTGGTCGGAGCCATGGAGAGGGTGCTCCATGGTCCACCCCCTCTCTTGATGCCCCTTGATCACGTGTGCCCCCTGCCCAAGGTCTGCTCACGCGGCCTATCATAGCGGGGTGACTGTAACACAGGGTAACATCCTGGATTTCTGGAAGCACGGCCAGAAGGGCGCGCTGGTGGAGGCCAACGGAGTGCGTGAGAGCAATGCCTGGGCGCACCTCAACGCCTTCCTTGACATCACCAGGACAGTGGCGGTGGCCCTGGAGCAGCTGCAGGCCGGCGAGTTTGACACCGTGACCCACTCCCTGCACCGCCTGGCCAAGGACTTCAAACATAAGTTCTCGCTGTTCAACGGGCCCATGCAGACCCAGCGCGCGGGCGTACTGCGCGGGCGCAAGTAGTACCAGTGCGCGGGCGCAAAGTAGTACCAGTGCGTGGGCGCAAGTAGTACCAGTGTACCAGTGCACTAGTGTACCCAGATTTGTTTAGTGTGCATGCACACCATTAGCACATCCTTGTGGGGCGACCCTGGGACGCTCAGCTGGGGGGAGGGTGGTCGGAGCCATGGAGAGGGTGCTCCATGGTCCACCCCCTCTCTTGATGCCCCTTGATCACGTGTGCCCCCTGCCCAAGGTCTGCTCACGCGGCCTATCATAGCGGGGTGACTGTAACACAGGGTTAACACAGGGTTGTACCGCATATGTTAGTAGGTTAATGGTGGGCATTAGCTCCCTTTGCTCCCCGATTGTTTGCTTGCTGGTTTCATCATCAACATGCTGTAATGGTGGCAGATATGTGAAAGCAGCTGAAGCTTTCACTAATGGAAGGTGGCCAGGGGCGGTACAGAATTGTACAGTCGCAGTCCTTAAACTATCTTACTGACTTGCTAACGGTCTACCTGTACCTTCTCAGACGCCCTGTCCTCCCCACACGCATTGCTCTCCTCCTTGGACTCGACTTTGCCACTGTTCGAAAAACATCTCGCACCGGGGTGGTAACCAACGCCAAGATGGCGGCAGCGGCATGGAAGGCGCTGCAGGCGGCGGCTGCTCCACCGCTGGGTTCTGGACGCACCATTGCCTGCCTGCACCGCAGCTTCTTCGCCGCCACCGCGACGTCGGCGGTGGAGAAGGGACCCTTCCAAACGGACTCGGGGGAGGGCGCGAAGCAGCCGTTTGTGGAGGAGCAGGGGCTGGCTTCCAAGCGAGCCATCAGGTGGAACCGGCGGCGGGCGAGGAGGTCTGCGGGCCGCCCAGCTGGCGGCGCTCTCGGTGGCGATCCAGCCCAGGGAAAAAGCAGGCAAGCCTGTAACTGGCTGCCCCTGCAGGGACAGCTACGAGGATGTGCTGAAGGAGAAGAGCGGTACTGCCGAGGATGTGGGCGTGAAGGACCGAGCGCAGTCCACGCTGGGCAGGTGGGGATGGGCTGCCTTTTGACTTTCGCGCCTCTGTTCCCGTGCCCATCGCGCCTCTGGCTTGCCCGTCGCGCCTCTGTTCCCCTGCCACCCCATGACCACTCTGCGCCTCCACTGTTCGCCCGCCACTGGCACTGCTGGCACCGCAGGATGATGGCAGACCCGCGGGATGTGGAGGGGGAGTATGCGCAGAAGGGGCGCGACACTGTGGCATGCACGGCGGCCGGGAGAGGCGAGCGCCGCCGCTGCGGCCGGTGTTGGCGTTGGTGGCGCTGCTTCCGCTCCTGCTGCTCCCGCTGTTGTCGCTTGCTGCTCGCGTTGCTGCTGCGGCCGCCCAGGCAGCAACCTGCCCCTGGTTTGGTCCTGGTTCTGCGGGGGTGGTGGGGTGCCTACTCACCTCCCCGCGCACCCGCACTGCCAGGCTGCTCATGCTCGCCTCCTGCCCACGCATGCAGGGAGTCCGAGGACGATGCGGTGGCTGACGCTGTGTTTGATCAGACCCGCAGCGACAAGGGGTACGATGAGGCAGCCAAGGAGGGGCAGCCCTGGGACGCTACGTTCGCCAGCAAGCCGCAGTGAACTTTGGAGCGGTGTGGCGCAGCTGATTTGCTTGCCACTCTCTTGAACTCCTTGCATGGTTCATGTGTGTGTATGTGCGTGTGCTGATGCGCCTGCCAGAGTGTTAGAAATGGGTTGATGAGCATTCCTTGAATGAAGGCCTTGCGCTGAGTGCCAGCGTGAGAGGTTGGAATCGTCTGTGGGCGGCGTATGAGCAATCGAAAAGGTTGCAATTGAAAGGGGTGTTACCCCTTTCAATGTGCTTTTGGGCGCACTGGCCGCTTCAGCAGCTCAGCTGCTGTGGCTGTCTCCTTCCTCTTCCGCTGCCGCGCCGTGCTTGGCATCCCCTGCCGCGCCCGGGGAGGCCCCAGCGCCGAGCCTACCGCTGCTGCCGCTCCTGATTCTGCTGCAGCAGCCACACCAGCCGCCCCGCCGCCGCCGCTGCCGCCGCCGGCGGCCGGGAACTGCCCAATCTCCTCGCCCGCCACCGCCTTGAGCGGCGTGGTCAGCCCCTGCGCCAGGTCTGCCATGTCGTCCGGGCGTCGCCCCCGGGCGGCAGCGATGCGCTGCGCCAGCGCCAGGCCGCTCAGCGCCGCCGCCTGCACGCTGCCGCCCTCGGCCACCCAGTCGCCGCACACGCCCACGCGTGCCGCCGGGTCAAAGATGCACGGCACGCGGGGCGAGTTGGTGGGCAGGGCCGCACCCCACAGCTGCAGCAGCGGCGGCAGGTGGGGAGGTGGGAGGGGAGCGGCTGGTGAGGAGGGAGGGCCGCGGCCCTGCTGGAAAGGCAGCCTGATTCGATGCGCTGGGCCCGGAAGGCATGCCTGCCTGCAGGCACGGGCATGGCCCGCCGCGCCCCGCCAACCAGCGATTCCCCTTTGTGCCAGCCCACCTGCGTCTGGGTGAAGACCACCGGAGGCAGCGCCCCCTCTGGCAGCCCCAGGGCGGTGGCAAATGCAGCCAGCATCTCTGCAGCCACCCGCTGCGCCACATCAGCCGGCACATTCTCCTGCAGCAGCAGCAGCAACAGCAGCAGCAGCAGCAGCGGGGGGGGGTCAGACCAAAGCAGCCTGCTGCTGCTCACCTGCCCACCTGCTGCCTGCAGACCAGCCGCATGCCTCCACCCCACGTGGCGTGCACGCCCTCCCTTTGCCCCGGCAGCGTCGGCGGCGCACCTGCGGCACTTTGTTGGTGCCCCCGTATCCCTGCGTGCTGATCAGCGTCCAGCACTCTACCCCATCCCTGCCGCCACCTGGGCCCAGCTTGGCCGTGTTGTTGCCCGCCCAGGCCAGCACCTGGCAGCCCTGGATGAAGGCACCCTCCATGCCCCCGGGCACCGCCACCGGCGAGCGGAAGGCCGCCATCAGCACCCAGGTGGCGGCCAGCCTCAAGCGGCGCAGCTGGGCGGCGACCGCGGGGACGCCCATGGGCGCCGCCAGCCGGTTGGCGCACTTGCCGTTGTGGGCGATGACCACGGCGTCATACACGCCCTGGTCCCGCCCGCAGCCCGCCAGCCGCCATCCGTCGGGCGTGAAGCGCGCCTCGCTGACCCACTGCGGCCGCCGCACCTCCACCAGGCCTGCAGGTGCAGTGGGTGGGTGGCAGCGGTGGTTAGGGGAGAGTGAGCTTGTGGGCTGGCACACGCCGGAGGCAGGTGGGATGCAGCGCGTGGCAGCCGCAGACAAGGAGTGGCAGCAGCGGCACCGCTGCCTGCCCACCTTTTATGCTGCCTCCCACACCACCGCCTGATCCATCGCGCTGCTCCCTCGACGCCCGGCCCGCCAGGTGTTCTGCCAGCTGGCGCATGCCACCCCTGGCCATATACCTCTCCTGGCCGCCATCCGGCACAAAGCTGCCGCCTCGCAGCCTGCCCACCGGGCCCTCCCAGCGCTGCACCACGCCCGCTGCCTGCCACTCGTCCACGATTTGCTGGAAGGAGGGGTGGGTGGCGGTGAAGTACTGCGGGAGGAAAGGAGGGCGGGGGACGGGTGTGTCTGTGCCTGGGTGGATGCACACCACACCGTTTGAGAGGGGCCGCGTGGAGGGCGCACAGCGCAAGCACAGGCATCCCTTGCATGCACCGCGCCACCGAGCACCCCCCCCTGCACTGCGCCTTGGGCAGTTCAACCCGCGCAATCCAGCTGGGCCGCACACCTGGCACGCATGGTCGAAGAGGAGGCCCGGGGGCGCCCCTCTCAGGCTGCCATCGGCGGATGAACGGGTGGCCAGTCGCCCGCCAACTCCATGCTCGCCTGCACAGGAAGGCCAGAGGCATGCGCCAGTGCATCATCCCACACAAGACGGGGCTGTGCTGCAGGATCTGCTGCAGGAAGCAGGGCAGGCAATGCGCACCAGTGTCAAATACGGTGCACCGTAGGCCGCTCTGAGCCAACGCCCACGCGCATGCCAACCCGCTCATCCCGCCGCCGATGATGGCCGTGGCTGGGTCTTCAGGGAAGGAGCCGCTGAACGATGCCCGCTGGGGAGCTGGCGGCGGCGGGCCGGAACCAATGCGGCGGCGCCCCCGCCCCCTCCCGCCCCCACCACCGCGCCCTCCTGCAGCGCCGTCCTTCCTCTTGGGCGAGGCAGGGGTCCCGGCGGCCCAGACTGCATAGCGAGGTAGGGGAGGGAACACAGGCCTGCCGGCGGCGGCGGCAGGAGAGCACAGGCCACCGGCTAGACGACCGAATGGAGCAGCATGTAGGGATATCATCACAAATGCGTTTCAACATTGAAACCACACCATTGTGGTGCGCACTGCGTGTGTACCATCACAACACTTGCAGGCTGGTGCACTCCTCTCAAGGCGCTCTGCCTCGCTTCTGTGGCCTGTCGACCCCATTACTGTGTCCGGGGGACCCTCAGCGGTGCCCTCCGAAACCTCGGCCTCTCATTTTGCCCTCGTGCAGAGGGTCCCTCGGCCATGAGTGCCTGAGTGCCTAGCCGTTCGGCAGGAGACGCACTTGATCCGCCGAATGGCCGCCACAAGCAGGCTCCAGGCAAGCAGGGGAGCTGCCCCATCTGCATGGGCGTCTTGATTCGGAGCTGGGTGGGCCTGAATCCGCTCGCCACACCTGCCCATTCGACATGTGCCCTCCCCTGCAGGCGGCCCTGGGCAGCCGCCTGCCCATGGCGGCACCGCCGCCGCCGCCGCCAAGGCGGCGGCGGCAGCAGCCCCACCGCATTCAGGCCCGGTTTGGCGCAGGCAGGCAGGGCGCTGGGGGCCCCCGGGGCGGAGCTCCCGACCTGCCTAGCGGTGCGGCAGCAGCGGTGGGCGGCCTGGGCCACGCGCCCGCCCCCGACCGCGCCGGCAGCGCATCGGGCAGTGTGGATGGGGGCGCCAGCGAGGACGGCCCGCCTCCTGCGGCTGCGGCGGCTGCGGCGGAACCTGCTGCTGCGGCGGCGGCGGCAGCGGCGGTGCGCGCCCCGGTGCCTGCAGTGGCAGCAGGGTCCGCGGCAGTAGATTTGACAGAAGAAGCAGCATCTCAGGCGGTGCCATTGCAAGCGGTGGTAGAGGCAGCAGGAGGAGGGGTGCCCGTCGAGGCGCTTGCGGCGGATGCAGCACTAGAGCTGCCGCCGGCGGCGGCAGTAGCATTGCTAGCAGCATTAGATGCAGAGTCATCAGGAGCAAGGTCAGGACTAGCAGCAGCAGAGGCAGAGGCGGGAGCGGCAGCAGAGGCAGAGGCGGGAGCAGCGGCAGGGGAGGCGGCCAGCCTGCAGCAGCAGGGCGGCGGCGGCGAGGGTATGGCGGAGGCGGCGGGCGGCTTCCGCCCCAGCCTCCTCTTCCAGCCCGGCGCGCTGCTGGACCTCAAATCCCTGCAGCAGCTGCAGGCACCCAGGCAGCCGGCCAAGCAGGCGGCGGCGCCGGCAGCAGAGGCGGCGGCGCCGGCAGCGGCCGCCGCGGAGCTGCCGCCCTCTGCGGGCGCGCCCCCCGCGGCGCACATGGGCACGCTGTGGGGCCTGCTGGTGCTCAGCCTGGCCTACCTGCACCACTCCACCAGCGGCTTTGCGCTGCCCGCCCTGCTGCCCATCATCTCAGAGGACTTGCACCTCACAGACACGCAGGGGGCGCTGCTGACGGCGGGGTACACGGTGGGTGGCGGGGGCGGGGGCGGGAGCGGGGTGGCGGTGGTGTGTGTATGTGTGTGTGTGGTGCCGGCGAGCCAAGCTGCATGCGCCTCGGTCACGCCGGCCACGGCTTTGCTGCCCCTGCCCCTGCCGCTGCCGCTGCCCCTGCCGGCCCACCTGGGCCCCCCCCACCCACCCCACCACGCCCCCCCGCAGGTGCTGTACGCTTTGGCGCTGGTGCCCCGTGGGCCTGCTGGCCGACCGCGTGGACCGGCCGCGCCTGCTGGCGGGGGGCATCGCGCTGTGGAGCCTGCTCACCATGGCCGCCTCCCAGACGCAGTCGTTTGGGCAGGCGCGCGGCCCTGCTGCCGTGCTGCTGTGCTGCGGGCCCCCGCCGCACCCTTTGCTGCCGCGCCGCGCCGTCCCGCCCCGTCCCGCCCCCCGCCGCCGCATCAAGGCAGCCGGGCGGGCCCCGATCTGCCGCAGGCGCAGGCCCTGTCTCGTCCCACCTGCAATCGCTGCCCCTCCCCCGCCGCCCCCGCCCCCTGCCGCAGCTGCTGGCCACGCGCGTGGGCTTTGCGGCGGCTCAGGCCACTCAGAACCCCATCTGCTTCTCCCTCATCCCAGAGCTCTTCCCCAAGAACCGCACCACAGCCATGGCAGTGTACAACACAGCCATCTACGCCGGCCGCGCCCTGTCCTTTGCGGCGCTCATCCTGGCCGCGCAGCTGGGCGTGCCGCAGGTGGGGTGGGGCGGGGTGTGTGTGTGTGGCGGGGCCGGCGGTACCGGGGCCCTGTGCTGGCTGCCCGGCCCGCCGCTTGCGTGCAGGCAGACCCCCTTGAGAAGCGCGTGCAGCCGAGCGGCCGGCAGCCGAGCTCACGCGAGCGCCGCGCGTCCTGGCGCCGTCTTCATCCCCGCAGGGCGTGATTGGCGAGGGGCTGAACATCGGGTACACGCTGGTGCCGCTGGACAAGGTGGACCTGTCGCTGGTCAGCGTGCTCTACACGCAGGTGGGCGGCGGGGGGTGGTGGCGGCGGTGGTGGTGGTTTTGTGGTGGTGGTGGTGGTTTCGTGCTGGTGGTTTCGTGCTGATGGCGGGGCAGCGGGCGAGCGTCGGGGCGCGTTCCCGGCGCCAGCGCCGCCCAGGTTGCGGGCACCTACCGGCTGCACCCCTCACCCCACCCCACCCCCCACCCCACCCCGAGCAGGGCGACTATGCTGCGGTGACCCCCGTGTACACGTATGCCCTGGACGGCAGCGAGGGCGTGATGATCGAGAGCGCCTTCTCCGCCTGGCGCCAGCTGCTGCGCTGGCTGGGCCCCCCCGGCCTGCTGATGGCGGCGCTGGCGCTGTTGACGGTGGAGGAGCCGCGGCAGCGGGGCAGGGGCGGCCGCTTCATGCCCCTCATGACTCTGGCCAAGGATAGCATCGACGAGGGGGACCTGGCCACGCCCGTCGGCGCGCTGGGGGCGCCCGCTGCCACGCCCGGCGTCGGCGTGGTGGGCGGCGGCGCGGCTGCGGCGGCTGCGGCGGCGCTGGCCTCCGGCCGCGACGGCGACGGCGGCGCCGCGCCGCCCGGCGCCCTCGTATCTGCGCCCGAGTCGCAGGCTCCGGCCAGCGTGGGGGAGAGCCTGGGGCGGCTGCGCGGGCTGGCAGGCGAGCCGGGCTTCCTGGCGCTCACGCTGGCCGCCGCGCTGAACGACGTGGGCAGCTGGGCGCTGGTCAGCTGGCAGGCCACCTTCTACCAGCGCGTGTACGGGCTGGAGCCAGCCGCCTATGCGCCGCTGCTGGCCATCGTCATTCCAGTGGGGGGCATCATCGGGGGGGTGGGCGCCGGCGTGTTTGGCGACTGGCTGAACCGCATCGGCGCGCGCGGCTGGCTGACGGCGGGCGCCTCGGTGGCGGCCGCCCCCTTCATCGCCGTCTCCCTGCTCGTCCCAGATTACAAGCAGTCGTTTGCGGCCCTGCTGGTGGGCTTTGCGCTCAGGTGCGGCGGCGCATGGGGGGGGCCAGGCCCGGCGGCGGCTGGCGGCAGCTGGCCGCGCAACGTCCTGCCTGCCCTGCACTCGCCCCACCCACCCCCACCCGCCCACCCACCCCCACCCGCTCCTGCCGCGGCCCTTGCAGCGAGTGCTGGCGCGCGCCCGCCGCGGTCATGGTGCGCGAGGTGTCCCCCCCCGGCCTCGGCTCCACCGCCTCCGCCCTGCACCTGTGCATCCGCAACCTGGTGGGAGGGCTGGGGCCCATCGGCGTGGCCCTGCTCTCGCCAAAGGTGCGCCGCCCTGCTCCGCCCGCACGCTCCGCGCTGCCGCCCGTGGCTGGAGGGGCATCCCCGCCTGCGGCGCCAAGGTCCTCCTTGCTGCCGAGCTGCCCCTTCGTTGACCTGCTGCTGCCCGCCTGCCTGTCTGCCTGCTGCTGCAGGTGGGCCTCCAGACCGCCATGCTGCTGGTGCCGGGCTGCTACCTGCTGTCGGGCGTGGGGCTGGCGGTGACGGAGGGCGTCATCAAGGCGGAGAAGGAGGCGGCGCGGGTGGCGCGCCACGCGGAGCACCACCCGCACCAGCAGTAGCTACCCACAGTTACCCACACCTAGCACCACAGCCGTAGCGAGCGGGCGATGCGCACACACAGTACCCACCGCACTGCTCGCTGGCTGGCTGGCCCAGCTTGTTGGGCCGCCTCGCTGCTGAACTGGTCCTGCCGCCCCATGTATGCTACTTCCCGCTTCCTCCACACCTGGAAATAAATCAATCTCTTCTCGGTGCTCTGGAGCCGCCCAATGCACGCCTTGGCTCCCACCTTGCCTGGGCCGCCGCTGCGGCCGAAGTGCTCTCGCACATGAGCAGTCCACGTTGCCTTTTGAACTGCTGTTGTTAACACCTCGCCATTCTCTTGCAAGTACTTCTTCTTGTTGTTGTAGCGGTGCGGTGCTGTGCACGCCGCGCCGCGCCAGCGAGGCGGGCGGTGGCCACGGGGACATCTGGCGGCAGCGCTGTCATGCAGCAGCAATCTAGGTGTTCAAGCCTTGATGCTGCGTTGCTTTTGACAGCCAGCAGGTCCAACCGCCATGTCGGGCAACAAAAAGCCCAAGGCGCCCAAGCGGAGTCTGGAGGCCGACAGTGCGTTCACCCGGGCATTGGGCAGCACCGACTACCACACCCGGGAGGCCGGGCTGCGAGCGCTGCAGACGTTCCTCGCCCGGAAGAGCGACATTGAGGAGCTTGACCTGCTCAAGCTGTGGAAGGGCATCTTCTACTGCTTTTGGCACTCGGATAAGAGCGCAGTGCAGGTGTGCGGGGCGTTGCATGCCCATGCATTGTGAGGCTGCGCAGGACAACTGACTCCAGGGCGGCCTTGCTGCCCTGCAGACCGAGCTGGCCGAGCGGCTCAGCGAGATCATGACGCAGTTGCCCGAGCAGGCAAGCGCCGCCGCCACTCTCGGCCGCCGCCGGCAGCCAACGCTGCTGCACCCGGCCGCCCCTCCTCCTGCCTGATCCGTCCCGCGCCCTGCAGGTGGGCTGGCTGTACTACCAGACCTTTGTGCGCACGATGCGGCGCGAGTGGGCGGGCATCGACCACCTGCGCCTGGATAAGTTCATGATGCTCATCCGCAAGGTGCTGGCGGCCGCGCTGCGCCAGCTGCAGGCACACGGATGGTGAGGCTGGGGGAGGGGGGGAGGAAAGAGATGGGGGCTACTATTGGTGCAGCCCGTCCTGCCGCTGACTGCAGCCGTGCTCGTGGGATGTATGCACGCACCCAGGCAGCCAGGCTCACCCTTGCCCCGCCCCTGGGTCCCGCGTCGCAGGCAGCAGCGCCGCGTGGCGCGCCTGGGCGACTTCTGGCTGCAGGAGGTGCTGCTGCCGCGGGACACGCTGGTGGCGGTGGGGGTGGCCTACCACCTCACCGACCTGCTGCTGCCGGAGCTGGCGCGGTGCCTGCAAGAGGGCGGCGCCAAAGGCGCGGCGCCCGGCGACGCCACGCTGCGCGTGCTGCTGGAGCCCTTCTGCGCCGCGCTGGCAGCCACCCACCACCCGGCCCTGGTGCACCGCCTCAGGTGCGCGTCTGCTGCTGGTGGCGGCGGCGGCGGCGGCGGCGGGTGTGCTGCCGGGGCGCCTCGCCCCTGCTGCCGCGCACTCCTCTTGACTGTCGCGCTGCCACGTGGGCTGCAGGCAGGGCGTGTTTGACCCCCTGGTGGAGGAGGTGCGGCAGGAGGGCGAGGCGGCGGCGCTGCGGGAGCTGGATGTGGCGGCGCTGGCGGCGCACCTGTTTGAGCTGGGTGCGCGGCGGGGGCCACGCTGGGCGGGTCGCCGCGCCCCCTCGCCGCTCGCTGCCGACTGAACCGCTGCACTGCTGGCCACCGCATGGTGTGCCGCCCAGGAGGCAACTATCTGGGCGCCCCCCTTAGCCGCGCGCCGCAGCTGAAGCCCTCCTCACAGCAACCCCGGCAAGGCTTATCAGCCTGCCGTGCTCCGACACCAGAGCCGGCGGGTTAAATACCTTCGCTACAATCACCCGCCGCACCTCCCACACACACCCTGCTGCCGCCGCCTGCCTGCCTGCCTGCCGCGCGCTGACCTGCCTGCTTGCCCTGCCTGCCTGCCCCCGCCTGCCCTCGCCTGGCTGGCTGGGTGCAGGGTCCAATCCAGAGGCGAGGGCACGCAACCGGGAGGCGCTGTATGCCGTGAGCGGCGCGCTGGAGCGCGCGGCAGCCAAGCGGCCCCGCACGGAGCGGCAGCCGCCGCAGGCGCCGCAAGCCGTCGCGCCGCCGCAGCGCAAGCCGCAGCACGAGCAGCAGGAGCAGCGGGCGCAGCAGGTGGCCGAGGCGCCGGCGCAGCAGGTGCAGAAGGCTGCCAGCAGCGCCCAGTCGGGCAAGAAGCGGCGGGGGCTGGCGGCGGGGCAGGAGGCAGCCGGGGCTGCTCTGCTGGCGCAGCAGGCGCTGGCGGCGGCGCCAGCCGACCAGGCCGCGGCCCCGGCCGCACCCTCAGCGCCCAGCAGCAGCCAGAAGAAGAGGAAGAAGGCGTCTCGGCTGGGGCTGGCGGAGGCGGCGCAGGGCGAGGCGCCAGCTGCTGCGGTGGCGGCTCCGGCGGCGGCAGCGGGGCGGAGCCAGGAGGAGGCTGCGCCTGCGGGGCGCGGGCGGCGCCAGTCCCGCGCCATCCCCGCCCGCGAGCAGGAGCTTCTGGCGGCGGCGGTGGCGGCTGTGACGGGCGGCGGCACGCCCGGCGGCGGTGAGGACGGCGGCGAGGGCACCCCCGGCGAGGGCAGCCCCAGCAAGAAGAAAAACGTGCGGTTCAGCCTGCGCCGCAACCTGGTCAACGTCATCGGCCAGCCGCCCAAGCCGCAGGATGTGCGCACGCCGCCCACCGCCAAGCCCAAGGGGTCCGCGCTCAAGCGGGACAGCAAGTGGGACGGCCCCGCCGGCGCCGCCGACCGCCTGCTGACGCGTGCGGGTGGGTGGGTGGTGGGGGCGGAGGGTGCGGCCGGGGCCGCGGCCTGGTCGGCAGGGCGCCGCCGCCAGCGCCCGCTGGGCGG